AAATAAAATTATGTAATAAGGGTTACGAACCACTGTAGATCTTAGATGAAAAAACTTTTTAATAAACAATCAGATCATATACAATAGACATTTCGATCTCTATCGGATTATTCTCAATGTTAAGCCCATGGCACATACAAAAACGTAAGACATAATTAGTAAGCGAATTGCCCAATCATGGTAGAGACCGTAAGGCCAGTAGCGAATCCAATCTTACGATTTCCTTACTGATTATGCCTTACGTTTTTCTATATGCTCCAGGCTTTAAACTTTAAAATGTTACTGCAGGAATCTCGCAAGGACGCTCACAATTAATTAATCGTATAAAACCATAGACATATAAGATTAGAGACCCAACATTAGCTATATATACCTGGATTTGGCAGAACGGTGCGAGAAGGAAAATATTGGGGCAATCTATCTTTCTCTGCGCGCATCTTGAGTAAATTTATTTTGGTAATACTCAAGAATTTTACCTTTCTTACAATTTTGACGAAATTAGACTCATTCGTTGCGTTTTTATACGAAATGAATGAATGGTAAAAGAGTGATGCTCTGCTCCGTAGACTGAAATATTAATCGTTGGAATTAACGACTATTCAGGTTAGGAAATCTGTCACAGTGACTTAATTTCCACTAAGAATTTAAACCGAATGTAAAAACTAACCAACTACAGTCGAGTATTCCTGTTACAATCGAATGACAAGGGAATACTTGACTGTAGTTGGTTGGTTCTTAGAGGCTCCGCATAATAAAAGAAACAGAGAACAAAGAACAGAGAATAAGAATTTCAACCTCAGAAACTGTGTATTCCGTAATACATGATTTCTGATAGGTTGAAATTCTTATTCTCTGTTCTTTGTTCCCTGTTCCTTTTATTGTATGAAGACTCTTACATTCTAAAACTAACACTAACTTACATTCTAAAACCCTCGGTGGAAACTAGGCTATTGATGGTATAGAGATATGAGAATATGTAAATGAAGCTAGAATAAATATTGCGATGCAAACATACACTGCAGATACTGCAGTAAATTTATGGTATAAGAATATAATATATTTCGTTCCTGAGGATGCGCAATAGTTCAAATGGCGGCTGCTCCTAAATTAATCACAATTTTGTTCAAAATTGTAAAAAGCAACATGGTTACTATCATAGTTGCTATGTAT